CTCCCTCCCTCCCTCCCTCCCTTCCTCCCTTCCTTCCTTTCTTCCTTCCTTTGCCTCTCATCTAATTGTGGAACTGCTGGGTTTACAAATATGAGCAGTGCATCTGATTTCTTGTGGGTCCTGGGATTGAACTCTGGTCGAGAGGCCTTTGTGGCAGGTACATTTATGCACAGAGCTATCTTGCCTGCCCCGGTGCAGTTTCTTCTTATAATCTGAGTAAGATCAAAACATGTTGCTTCAGAAGGTCTCACCCCCAGCAAACTTCACTCTAAACAAGGCACGAGGTTATCCTTTTCCACCATTCCCTTTAAGCCTTGGAAAAGTCTAAGGGGGACTTCACCAGAGTTGACAATGGCCATGGCGGTTAATTACATTTCAGATACAGGAAAGCACAGGAGAAACTGGTGACCCCCGTGTACCTGAGGATTGCTGTTGTGCTATTGCCAAGTCCTGAAAGACAGATGTGCCATTGTACTTTTTTTTTTTTAAATCCAGCATGCTTTTAAGTGCTGAGGCAGGACAAGGACCCAGTTACACACCCCTCCATCACTTTCTTTTCCCTTTTTGCTCGCCAAGACAGGGTTTCTGCATAGCCCTGTCTGTCCTGGAACTCACTCTGTAGCCTAGGCTGGCCTTGAACACACAGAAACTTCTCTGCCTCCGAGTGCTAGGACTAAAGGTGTGCGTCACTACTGCCTGGCTTCCATCACTTCTTTGTAAAGTTATGGTTAAATACACATAACCAAAGTTACCATGTTAGCTGTTATTTTAAGCATACAGTTCAGCAATATTAAGATCATTCACATTGTTTGATTCTGTTCACATTCCATCACCTGATCCATCTTCAGAGCATCTGGAAAAATCCTTATGATTTTTGTAGACTAGTTCTACTAGAGTATAATTTGCAATATTGATGGATATTGGCAAGTTTGTACACCTGTGTTACCACAATCAAGATAGGGCGTATCTTTGTACCTTGTTCTGCACAACCCCTGAAGCCCCGGCTCAGGAAGCCTGCCATTTACAGAAGTCCTTCTTGATTATATTTCTGTTCTCGTAAAGAAGAGTGGTTCTCAGCATTCCTTATCTGTGACCCTTTAACATACTTCCTCACGTGACCCCCAACCATTACATTGGTTTTTTTTTGCTACTTCCTAACTGTATTTTTGCTGTTATGAATCATAATGTAAATGTCTGTGTTTTCCTGTGGTCTTAGGTGTCTCCTGTGAAAGGGCCATTCGATCCCAAAGAGGTCTCGACCCACAGGTTGAGAATCACTGATATAGCCTCTACTGGTGTTCTTCTAAGCATGGTTCAGAGTTAACTCAGAGTTACACTGTTTTAGAACTAGTATAGCACTCTCTGTGTTCATCCACTTTTCATTTCTAGTGATGCCTCCCCTTCCATTCTGTTTGTCTAATTTCAAATTGCTTAGCCATTTTCAAGAGTGTATAGGTGTTAAAACCTTCATATATATACATATATGTATATATATGCACACACATGCACATATATATATATACATACATATACACCTTCTAATATATGTGTATATATACATATATAAAACTTCCAATATATATATGTATGTATATATATATATATGTATATATATATATATATGTGTGTGTGTGTGTGCATATATTTATATCTGGCAAAGATTTATTAGAAAGGTCATTAGTCACAGTGAATAAAGAAGAACCAGGAGATGATGGTAATTGTAGGCACTGGGCCTACAATGCAAGTTAGAGCCTAGTAAACATTAATGTGCTTCCAAGGGTAATCTTAGCAATGTCTTGGTTGCCCACAAAAAAATAAATGACTCCCCATGCTCCCCAGCAGATTGCTTGGCTAGACAGTGGGAGAAAAGATCTTCCCCCAAGGAGTCCCACACAGAGCTGCTACCTTTCCAGCTGATACAAGACACTTGTGTGTGACCCACAAACACCATGTTGGGAACCCTGACAAGAATGCTGAGCAGTGACAGGGAGAGTGGCAAGCAGAGGCACTCATTTCTTGCTGGTGACCCTCCTGAGTGCCTTCCAGTTTTCACTGTAGTTTCTTTTTCTGGAAAAAAGAAAAATAGCTGTTTTCTGCTTCTCTTCTTTTTCAGCATTGGAATCTGGATGTGGTACCAAGATAGTGTTCTCCAGTCGACATATGTGTGATGACGACTCGCCACGGATGACAGAAAGTCTTCCACGCTGCAATCTTGAGAGCTCAAGACTCCAAGATGACTGGGAAGGCAAAGGCCAATTTGATAGACAACCAGGAAATCCAGCCAGAAATGTCAGTCCAGTGTCCATCTGTCACAAAGAAATGCCGGCGTTAAGCCAGCACTTGTCCCTTACTTTTTACCAGACAAAGTCCTGTAGATATAAAAAATGCAAAAGAGACTTCTGCCAAGGGCAGAACCAAGGAATTCCTACAAATGAGAAGCCCTACACGTGTAGGGAGTGTGGGAAGGCTTTTAAATATGTCTCTCGACTAATCCAGCATGAGAACATTCATTCGGGCAAGAAGCCTTATGAATGTAAAGAGTGTGGGAAGGCCTTCAATTCTGGTTCAAATTTCCTACAACACCAGAGAGTTCATACGGGTGAGAAACCTTATGCATGTAAAGACTGTGCTAAAGCCTTCGGTCGAAGCTCCCAGCTCATCGAGCATCAGAGAATCCATACAGGGGAGAAACCCTATCAATGTAAGGAGTGTGGCAAGGCCTTCAATCGTGTCTCACATCTCAGAGTACATCACAGGATTCATTCTGGGGAAAAGCCCTATGTGTGTAAGGAGTGTGGGAAGACCTTTAGCCATAGGTCTCAGTTGATTCAACATCAGACTGTTCACACTGGCAAGAAACTCTTTGAGTGCAAAGAGTGCAGAAAGGCTTTTAATCAAGGGTCCACTCTAATCCGACATCAGAGAATTCACACGGGAGAGAAACCGTACAAGTGTAAGGCGTGTGGCAAGACCTTTCGAGTGAACTCGCAGCTTAAGCAACATCACAGAATTCACACCGGAGAGAAACCGTACCAGTGTAAGGTTTGCAGTAAGGCCTTCAAGCGGGTCTCGCATCTCACAGTGCATTATAGAACTCATACGGGTGAGAAGCCGTTCGAATGCAAGGAATGTGGGAAGGCCTTCAGCCACTGCTCACAGCTGATTAAACATCAGGTGATCCATTCCGGGGAAAAGTCCAACAAGCATAAGGGATGCCGGAGGAGTGTAAGGCATGATCCAACATCCGAGCATCCGAGTCTGCGCAATAGAGGAACACACAGGAACATAGTAAATGTGGAAAAGCCATCTCTTGGCACTTACCCACTGTTAATCATCAGGGAATTTGTTAGCCAGCAACCATGTGAATGGAAGTAATGCAGAGAGCCCGTTCGCTTAGTGTAATAACTGATTGTGCATCTTCAAGAAAGGACAGATAAACGTACTGCAAATGAGACACCTCTATTCAGTTTATCCTAAATGAACACAGTTGTATGTTGTCTCCCAACACAATCCAGAACCTATTCATGGGATTTTTGTGTTGTTTTGTGTTTGTTTTGTTTGTTTGTTTGTTATTTTGAGACAAGGTCTCTCTTTGTAGCCTTAGCTGGCCTGGAGTTTGCTGTGTAAACCAGGCTGACCTGAAACTCAGAGAGATCTGCCTGCCTCTACCTTCAGGGGATATTAAAAGTATGTTCCATTGCACCCAGTTTTAGTCACAGGCAAAAGAAAGCCAAAATACTCTGCACTTGATAATTAAAAAAAAAAAGTCATGCAAATACCATGAGCTACAAGAAAAAGAATGACTTAATACTTTTAAATGCTAAGGAAGAAAAGACAAAGCTATATCCAGGATGTGGTGGTCCATACCTTGAGTCCTAGGCACTTGGAAGGCAGAAGCAGATGGATCTCTGAGTTCTAGGCCAGCTGGCTACTCAATGAGACCCTGTCTCCAAACAATGACAACAATCCCATCCCCAAAAGTTATACCCAGAGGAATTAAAAGACTTTTATAAAAAGCTCTGTGTGTGTGCGCATGCGTGTTTGTACATGTAAATCCCACAGTTCGTGTGTAGAGAGCAGAGGGCAGCTTTGTGGAGTCACTTCTTTCTTTCCTCCTTTATGTGGGTTCCAGAAGTTGAACTTAGATCACCAGGCTTATCCACTGAGCTACCTCACTGGCCTTTTTAATAATTAGAAACACATTTTTTAACTCCTAGACTTAAAAACCCAGATTTGCAGGTTTTGAGTACATGCTTGTATATGAAAGCACGAATGAGTATCCAAACACACTAAATGAAGGAGTCAGAACTACAAAACAGCTGTGCATGGTGGGGCATGCTTGTAATCTCAGCTCTGGGAAGCTGAGGCAGGAGGATTGCTTCAAGTCAAGGCCAGCTTGGGCTACATAGTGATAACACTGTCTTAAAAAACAATGAAAGTACCAAACACCAAGACAATAGATTTTAAAAAAAAGGCAGTAGTTTCATTTTTTTTTTTTTTTTTTTTTTTTTTTTGTGGGGTGGGGATGGGGTTGATTGTTTGTTTGTTTGTTTGTTTGTAGCCTGAGGAATTTTTCTAAATTCAGTTGTTTATAAGACTGGGGCTTGGGCAAGATATGGTTGTGTCCTGGCTGGTCTCCAATTTGGGGCAATCCTCACTAGTTCTGGGATTACAGGAACGAGACCAAAAGTCTGACTCTTTCTAGTCTAAAATGTTCATATTCTCTGTAGACAGTATATTTTTGTGACTTCCAAACTAGGAGAGTTAAGATCTATAGTAAAAGGTCGTCTTCCTGTCTTGTGCCTGAGTCTCACATTACTCTGTTATTTCTTCCTGTTTCAGGAATAGTCTTGATTTTGGAGAGAATTTTTAAATGTCTACATGGTTCGATTGTTTGGGGGGTCTTCCTTTGATTTATATCACAGGTAGATTTTTTCTGCTCACGTCAGTGATTCCTAGTTATTGTTAGCATCTGCCTCTTTCTTTAGCGTCTTGTAGTTGTGGGCTTTTCCACCGGTGCCCAAGTTTATGAAATGATGTCTGAGACTGAATATTACAAATAAATGCCTAGGCTAATAGCTTTGGCTTGTTCCCCAACTAGCTTATGTCTCAATAATTCTGTATATTCTAGTCTATGAATGCCACATGGTTGGCTACCTGGTCCTCAGTTTATAATACTACCATAAGTGTTCCCCATCATCATTTGGGATGAATCCTCTCTTTTTCTTCTCTCCTCTCCTGGTTGAGATGAGAAATCCAGCCCTATTCTCTTTTTCTGCCTAGTCAATGGCTGATTAGCTTTTTATTAACCTGATCAGAGATTAATTGGGGAGTAATGTTTATACAGCATTGAGACAGGAGATTCTTAGAATGAACATTACAAAGCAATGTCTGGATTGCAACCAGATATGGGGCACAGAAATCAGCATTTGAATAATACAAGGATAATTGGTGCCATTATGCCAACAGAATCTGGATAGCAGATTCAAATTTCCAAGCCTCCTCTGCAGCTCAAAGTGGCCAATATTGGCCACTGGAATCTAATGGAGGCTTCTGGAGAGAAGTTCGTGTCCCAAAGAAAGATGTCAATCTATCGAACTGATTTGCAACAGAAAATGTACCTCAGGGTGGAGGACCTTGGACGCCATGCAATGAGAAGGAACAAACAGCTACGATTGCATCCTCAAAGTGATACCCAACGCAGTTCCACATCTAGCTTTGCACTCTCTGACCACAATACACTTGATTTTTCTCATATGAGTCCTACAGTTTTGCTGTATTTTTAAGATCTTAATTGTGTTTTATTACCTGTGAACAAGACTCGATAGATGGCAGAGATCTCAGTGACTGATGAACGTCAAAGAGAGAAAGAGATAGAGGCTTCTACCTGAGTTCATGTTAAATGGACATTTCAATGCACCCTTAATTCCTAAAGGTGTCAGTTTATCGGTGAACAATCATCATTAGCATCTATGATGAACAGCCGTACCAGCACCAGAAAATCCCCACAGTGTCCTTGAAATGCTATTTCCTTGTTGTCCTTTGTATTAGTTTGCCTTCTATTGCTGTGAGAAACATCAAGACCAAACGAAATGCAGGGAGTAAAGGGTTAATTTCACCTTGCAGCTTACAGGAATGGAACTCAGGGTTGGAACTCAAGGCAAGAACTGGAGCTAAGACCGTGAAGACTTTTGCTTACTGGCTTGCTCAGACTTTGTTGTTTTGTTTTCCTACAGAGGACAATCTGCTCAAGGGAAGCACCACCCACAGCTGAGCTCTCCAACATCAGTCATTGATTAAATACAAAAAAGAAAGAAAGAAACAACAAAGCCAAGCAACAAAACCAAAAACACCCCAAGGCTGGAGAGATGGTTCGGCAGTTAAGAGCTATAATTCCTAGCACACACACATGGCACGTCACAACTGTAACTCCAGTTCCAGGGAACCTGACACCCTCACCCAGATATACAAATAGGCAAAACACCAATGCACATAAAATTAAAAAAATTATTTAAAAAATGCCCCATGCAAATGCATGTCCACCAACTAATCTGATGGTGATTATTCCCTCAGTTAAGGGTTCCTCTTCCGAGAAGATACTAGCTTGTATTCAGTTGAAAAACAATCTAGCCAGCACACTCTGTATCTTGGGTAGCTAGTTTATGAAGTTATGTCACAATCTTAGGCTTGTCATTTTGCCACAATACCACAATACCATGGTTCCCAGAGACAGGCTGAATTTTCTGGGCCCACTCCCCAATATTTTCTGAATTGTGTCTTATGATTTTTTTTTTGGTTGTTATTGTTGTTCTTCCAGACAGGGTTTCTTTATGTAGCATTTTGTGTATCTGTCCTGGAACTAGCTCTGCAGATCAGGCTGGCCTCAAACTCAACAGATCTGTCTGCTTCTGGCTCATGAGTGAGGGGATTAAATGTATGTGCCACCACTTTCCAGCTTTGTTTTCGAAACTTTAAAAAAAGGTTTTTTTTTGTCTTTTCCCCCCTTCTCTCATATATTACATTCCAACTGTAGTTTCCCTCCCTCCCCTCCCCTCAGTCTCTCCCTCCCACCTCCCCTCTCCCCCAGAACTCCCATTCCCTACTCCTTCCTCCCTTCAAAAAAGAGCAGGTTCCCCCAGGGACATAAACCAAACAGGGCATAACAAACTGCAATAAGACCAGGAACATACCATCACATCAAGGCTGAATGAGGCAACTCAGTAGGAGAAGGGTCCTTGTGCAGGAAAAAGGGTCAGAGACAGGCCCTGCTAGCACTGTTAGGAATCCCGAAAGAACACCAACCTGCTCAGCCTTAACATATGCAGAACCTAGGTCAGACCCCTACAGGCTCACTGATCACTGAGATGCCCCATGAATTCATAATGTGGCTGTGTTCCTGTGTCCCCAACCCTTCCTCTGTCTCCACAGGGCTCCTGAGCTCCATCTAATGTTTGGCTGTGGGAGTCTGCATCTGCTCCCATAGTTTGCTGGTCTCTTTGATGATTCTGCTAGGCCAGGGTCTCAGAATACTCTGCAGGCAGGACAGACTGTAGGTCGAAGGTTTTGTGGCTGGATTGGTATTCTAGTCCCAACCAGCCTTGCCTGGATACAGAAGATGGCTGGTTCAGGCCCCGGGCTCCCCATGACTAGGAGTAAAAAGGAGTTTTGTATGTTGACACATCAGCTGATGTTTGCTGTTACCCCAGTGTAACCACCTTGTGAGAACCAGCTATGATTGCCTCCATTTCTCTGTTGCTGAATATTCAGGTTGCTTTAAAAAAATTCTGATGAGCATCTTATTCATCCATGTTTGGGGGAACTTGAGGAGTTACATCCACAAGAATATCTCCAGGGTAGAGATGTGATAGGAGTTACCTGGATCATGCTTCTTTACTCACTGCGACCCAACTTGAGAACTGTTGCTGGGTCTGGACAGTAGCCACAATTCAGCTGCTACAAGCTGTCAGTCAGAACATCATCAAATTGGACTCAGGTACTTAGGAAGACCTTTGACTAGAGACTCCATTGAGCTGGTGGCCTTTTAGGAGGCCACGAAAAGGATATTTCCCATCCTCCCTTCCAGTAAAATTAGGATTGGTCTGGAAGCCAAGCTTACTGAGTACACAAATACACTATTATCGGTGTTTTAAGGAGTTCCTTCTTCTCAGGGCATT